TTTTTTTTAAAAAGTTTTAATGTATGTATGCATGCATGTGTACATCACACATACATATATATATATATATATATATATGAATGCATGCATACTATTGCATGCATGCATTGACATACATAATGTGTGTCAGTTAGTCTGTTTGTCTGTTTGCATGCCGATTGATGTTGATTGAGAGTTTTAAGAAGTGTTTGGCAAATGTGCGCACAATTGGTTTTGTCAAATATTGAAGTAATATTTTAAACTAATATCAGTAAATTTAAATATTTAATAAATTAATTCATTTCCTTTTTCTTTACTGCCAATTGGAACACAATTTTTGTTGCTTAGGAATGATAACAAAGTACGGTAGGTAATGGAAATTCCCGAAATTAGAAATAAGTTAGTAAAGGCTATTGTATCAGATATAAGCACAATGAAAGGTTGCTAAACCTGATTTAGCAATCAGGAAAAATACATGCAAACCTAAATTAAATATTTCAGAAATAGTTTTATTCAATATTTAGCTTCATAATAAAAATAATAAAATTATGGCACTAATATTTTGTTTTATAAATTTATAAACCTTCTCATTTATAAAAGGTTTTAATAGGATAGGTCTATAATAGATTTTCTTTTAATTATTCACTTTTTCGTTACAATGAAACAGAAAAAGATTCATCCGGATCCGGATTTCTTTTTGTAACAAATATGTGCGTATCATTTTTAGTGGGTAGTGATTTTTTTTTTTCCGATAGTGTAATTATCTTTCGGAAAACTTTTGAAACGATGAAATGAGTAAAAAAAAGAAGAAAGTTGAACAGTTTAGTTAATTACTGGATCAGGAAACAAATTCCTGTAAGCCAGGTTGTTCTGTTTTTTTTTTTTTTCATACACCTTTCTGTCCTTAGGCCTTTTTTCTTCAGTCTTATTTGTTAATTAATCAAAAATATTGTCCCATTCATTTTTTTAATTCGAAGAAAATTTAGATAGAAAGTTTAGAAAATAATAGATGTAATATTATGTTGCGTGTAAGGAATTACTGTCAGAATACTTATACTTCTTTCCGGATTGTTTTTCAGAAAAGAAAAAACACCCACACAGAAATCCGTTCCTTATGACGACGCTAGAAAAAAAAATTCTAAACGATAAAATAATTTAATTTGGCATGAGAATAATTCGAACCTAAGTGTAAATTTTACATTTTCCATTAGTATTACAATGGAGAATAGTTTTTGTTTTCTCTTTTTTTTTTACAAGTATTTTTGTTTAATTTTGCGATTTAAAAAACAGAATAATTTTCTGGAAATCGAATGAATTTGATCATTTAGTAATAAATTACTGAAGAATTAATTAATTAATTGATCAGAAAATCAATCAATTTCATTATGTTTAATTTAGCATTAGCACGATTCCTTCCAAAATATTTTATATCTTTCATTTCAAATTTTAATATTCCAGGAATAAATTTCTCTGTGTGCAATATAGCTTTTTATATTATCCAATGATATGATTTCTGTGATGAACGGTATCAATAATCCGGCATCGTTCGGCTTCTCCGGAAGTTTCATGGATAAACCGTTTTATCAGAAATTTGCTACTGCTAACGTTACAACACCAGCTTCTGTAGCTGTAGTTGTAACCACAGCTGCTGCGACAGCTGCATCATCTTCAGGATCAAGCGCAACAAACGAAAACGACAGGACCAGTACTCCACCTGCACTTGCAACCAGGTATTACATTCAAAGCTTTCGAAATAATTGATAAAGTTTTTAAACCAATGTATATTTTAATTTTTGAAAATTGGAAAATATTACTGAATTATTTTGACATTTGCATTATTATATTTAATCATTGTGACATCATCGAAAAAACATTTCAGTTCGTCGTCTGCTGCTTCATCGTCGCAAGTGATGAATGTAATGAGTAGCTTACCCGGTACGCATCATGCCCATGCCGGACACTCACAGCATTATCCATATAGTTATGATTGGACATCACCGCATCAAGCTGCCGCTGCTGCTCAAGCTGCACATCTCTCTGCGCAACAAGCTGTTGTACAGCAAGCCGCTGCTGTTGCTGCCAATGTTGCTTCTGTTTCTTCCGCTTCCGGTAATAAATACTTTAAAAATTTTTATCCTCTGAAAGATAAGTTTTAATTTGATCAAAAACTCATATTTTAGGATGTATTTTATATGGTTTGTTTTAGTATCATGTGTGCCATCGTTAGGTTCCTCAGGAATAGCATCACCAAATGCTGTCGCCAAAGCCGCTTTCCTTTCACCATCTACTGCTACCGGCAAGTTTACATACTTTCATTTCATCCAAATTTTCAAATGTTTTTTAAATTTACAATCACTAAATATAACTTAACTCGCATTTTGCAAACAAGAAAACTACGGTAGAATTTGCTGGATAATATTATTGTTTTTTATTTAGATATTCCGATAATTAATTGACTGACAATTTTGTACTGAAGTTACTGATAATCAATACAGTATATGTCTCGGACAATCAATGCAGTATATGTTTCAGCAATTAATTACAGTATCGTATACAGTACTGACCTTTGAGGAAAATTTTTGTTCGATTGAGTTTTTTTCATTCAGGTTTCGATATGATGAATCCGATGTGTCAGGCAGATTTTTACGGGTCTAATTTTCATGCAGCTCACGCAGCGGCTGTAGCCACTGGACATACATGGGCATACGGTTATCCGCAACAGTATCCTTTTGGAGCACATCCATATCCAGGAAGTATGGTAGCCGATATGACTGGTTTAGCAGGTTAGCTTTTTCTGTTATCAACGTGTATTACACATTATAATTGGTGTTTTTGCTATACCATAGCTCAAGTGTTTTTGTTTAAGACTACGGTTCGATTACTTGTTGAGTACAGGCAACTACGGTATTTACAGTTGACAGTTTGGTCACCTTTAAGTATAAGCGATTACGGTATTTAGAGTTGAACCTGTCGTTGTATAAATCGTTCAAAAATTTATAAATTGAAATGTGCTATTTGTGCCACCAATTACTTTGGTCAGATTATAACATTTGAATATTAATATTCTAAAATTTACCATACGAGTTGAATTTATAATAACCTATGTCATCATTACTTTGGCCAGATACTTAAAGATTAATGTTCTAAATTTTTGCTTTTATTCTATAATTTTTTTTTATCAAAACTTCTAGCTAAAATTTTTTTTTAGTTTTATAAAAAAATTTTTTTGCAATTTTTTAATTTCATGAAATATGCATTATGCCATCAGATTCCGTCTCTTTATTCCCTCTAAAATTGTTCACAGATTAATTCTTTAATTAGATTGTAATTTCAAACGAGCATTTGATCACATCAGTCTTAAATTTAAATTTGACTTTAATTTAACATGCTATTTGCATTAGTTTAACATTTTAATTCAACAAATCCGTAATGAAATCACAATAACAAGTGTCCCCTCATTGATATCACAGTCTTGACTAGTCACAAATACTAGACTAGCCTATTTCTGGTCGTTGAATTTTAAATTTTTTAGCATGAACTATTTTATAAACTTTTCCACACTTAAAGAAAATTGATGAACAGAATAATCTAAGGATATAACCATGCCATCATTACTGTTCATCAATAGCAAATATATTAACATTCAAATTTTAGAACTGAAGAAGGATACTGGCATGAAAAGGAATAAGAGAGAGAGAGAGAGAGAGAGAGAAAGGGAGAAAAAGGAAAGAGAAGAAGTAGGAAGTAAAATTTGAGTTAAATATAACGAATAATAAAGAAATTTTGCCAAAAAGGAGAAGGGGTTTTAGAAACTGGAGAATTTCTTGTTACATTAAGAATGATGAATTCATAGAAATGAAATTTGAAAAATGTTATAGAAAGAGAGAAGTTGAAAAAGAATATGAAATTTTTAAAGATTTATCCAATGAAATTCGTATAAAAGATTCATTAAAAGGGAGTGTTAGATGAAATGAAGAAGGAGAGAAAAGGAAGAAGATGAAAAATCAGGTTGTTAAAGGGTGTCGCCGACCGATCGAATAAATTAACTGTCGCATAAGGGGTCGTCGCTACCGTTCCCCGTTAGTATTGATAATAAGTTTGGCAAAATTGTATAGTTGCACAATTGCGAAAGATGGATTACTTTGCAGAGAGGGATGACAAGATGAAATGAAGGTTGGGGACTGAGAATTTGACAAATTGCGAACAAAACCAATAAATAAAAATTATTTCTTAAAAGTTGAAATGATTCCTATATATCACACCCATAGTTAACACTATTAATACTTTTCAACAAATACTCACATTATTGTTAAATACTACGAATGGATTGGCGCAGTTATCCGTTGATTATCTTCTCTTACCGTGATATAATATATAAATATTTGAAATGTCACTGCAATGAATAGAAATGACAATATGTTTTTACGGTTGTATTACTAAGTATAGTTATTGTATACTTTTAGTATAAATAAGTATTGAAAATGAGGAATATAGAATGATACTTTACGGAGTACAAACTTATGATTCACATATACATATATATATATATATACAAGTATGCATATTAGTGGTTAGGATGAAAAATTCCTTATCATTTTTGAGCCTAGGATGATAATAAATGGCCAGAGGGAAAAAATCTTTATTATTTTCGAGCCTAAAATTGTGATAGAATTTTTATAGGATTGTGTTGCAATTTCAAAAATTTACTCTTTTAATTTTCAATTAATAACATTGAATTGGCTAAATTTTGAATTCAAAAATTGTTATATCATTTTTAAATATTTTACTTTTAACTTAATTTCAACTAACAATAGAATAGTTCATGGGAGAAAAAAAATTGAATAAAATAAATTTATTGTTGATAATAGAGAGGAAAGAGAACTACCTGTAATTAATATGGTGACATGAAATAATTTGACATATTCAATTCCATATTTTTCCAAAAATTTAAATTTCACAAATCAATATATCTTTTTTTTCCAAAAATTGACTAATTGTTATTTAAAAAAATTATTAAACATGAAAGAGTGAATGTGATATGAGCAAAATACAGAAGCTTAAAGTTATCAGATGTATCCCAAATGTGTGATGGAAATGGAAACAAGATGCGGATGATATGAGCGGTATTACTTTGATGTAACTCCCAGAACATGGTCACTGAGAATTTTATTGTCCTCATTACCTTCTGTGCAAATTTAAACTTCTCCGACTTCCATTTCTCGTCTTCTATCTTTATTGATTTTTACATATGGGATATTATACTAAAATTATGATAAAATTAAATATCGAAAAGGTAAATAAAAGGAGTGGAAAGTTAATGTTAGCTATCTAAAATAAAAGTATTTTCAAATTTTCTGAATGAAATTTAAAAACAACAGTTTCATGAAACTTGTAATTGTATGTATTAGTGAATTTGACAAAAATTGGTGACAATTGGTGACAACTTAAGATTAAGATTTTCAATCCTATCAATTTTGTAGTTTTTTTCTCAAATTTTCCCTGATAATTGTATTAGAACGTAGGTTAAATTAGTGGTAGGCTCGAGAATGAGAAATTTTTCTGAGATTTGAGGGTCATCATATTGTAGCTATGCTATTCAATTTTCAAATATTGACATAGTATGTCCTGTGCAGGTGTTGCCAAAATATAAGGTACGAGAGGAATCCATAAAAAAAAAATGTCGTGATACCGGACCTTAATCTTATTTTATGACATCTTCGGGATAAACGATTTATATTTTTCCACTGTATTCATTACTATCAATATTGCTAATATCATCTGCTTCAAATATGTTGTTGCTATGACGATACACAAATTATGTCCCGAAAATCGGATCATGAATTCGGATACAGTAATTTGGTAATTTGATCTAAGGTGAATGAGAAAAGTTTTCAAATTTTACAAATTTTTAAATGATCCTTTTTTCTTTTGCAATATTTGCATAATTTGACCAATTTACATCATTCACATTTCTCAAACAAATCTCCACTTTTTATCAATTTTCACTGCCACTATGCATTGATCAAATCGAAAATTTTCAATCTTTTGCAGTCCTAAATATTTCCAATGGTCATTTCCATTACCGAGATGACCCTTTCAGTGGTCATCTTGGCTAATTTAAAACACATAGTTTTATCATCATTCCCCTACTCCTTCTATCAATCGACAAAATGTTAAGCATTTAAAGATGATTGAGAAAACTGGCGGCTTTGACGTTATATCTTACTGTTGTATTTTACTTTTTAGCATTTCAATACTTTAATTTCTGAGCAATTAAAAAATATAAATTTTACAAAAATGCTCAGATTATTTTCTCGTTTTTAATTTCTTTTCTCATTCAATTTTATGCATCTACGATAGATTAAATCTTTACCTAAATTATTTTCAGATGTATATTTCTGAGGATCACTTGTAATCTTTCTTTTCTGGAGCTGGTAAAATAAACATAAAAATGCCGCCATCATTATTTAGCCTCGAATCGGACAACAAAACATTTTTTTATGGCCATAAAAATTGGCCTTTTTTCCGTCTCCAGAAACAGAAACGATATTGCGGCATTAGCTTTTGATGATATCTAATCGTGTCCTGGGAAAAGATACCTTGCAGGTTCATAAATTTTGACATAGTTATCATTTTTTTTTTTTTTTTGAGGGAGAAATTTGATAAATATGGATATGTATTAATTAAAAGGAATAAGTTTTTATTTTTTCCTTTTTTAAAATAAAGTAGAAGTATGGATATTTGTAAATTAACATTCGTCGAAATTATGAAGCATAATAGTGATAAATGATAAAGTGATAGAACGGAGTGATATTGTTGTATTTTTTGTTGATTTAAATGAGTTTTGAAATTTATTAAAATTTTACATCAATAAGTTTACTTTTGAATAGGCTTATTTCGACAGATAAATTTTTTTTTATTTTTTCAGAAATTTTACAAGCTAATTTAAATTTATTCGGATTTTTTTTCCCTTTTTCTTTATTCTCTTATTATTCCCTTTTGGAAATTTTGCAAATAATTTGATGATATTAAAAATTTTTCAAAATAATCAATATCATAGGCTAAATAGAGATGTATGAATTATTTGGCTTAAATAGATGAAAATGTTAGGCGGTAATAATTTTAATAGAATTTAATTATCCATCATTAATTTATTCTAGACAAACTTCCACAGATAGATAGTAATCTTTCAAAGTAAGAGATAATCATTTTGGAGATAATTCCAATTATAATTTTTCATTCATCCATCATTTTTTTTTTTTTTTTTTTTTTGTTATTTGGAAAAGTGTGCCG